ATTGACTTCTTGTGCCCTTTCTTACTGGCAAATCACTTGTTTCTTTTTATTTATATTATCAGTTATACCAATGGAATAGACAGTAATTCATACAAATTTCAAAAATAGAAACAAGGATTGAGAAATACATTAATGCATACAATTTTATAGGGAGAGATTCACACCTAATCTTATCTATTATATCTGTCTTTCTAGATGTAGATGTAGATAAATACAGCCAAAGACTTACAACATGCTTAGAGCAGTAACTGGTACCCCGTGAGCTACCGGTGGCTTCCGGGGTGCTCTTCCATCAGTAGCATATAGCCACGTGCATATGGCTCATCACTCTGTTACTGTGCTCTATAGACTCAGTATCTGAGGTTGTCTGATATGTGGCAACAGCATTGGAGCAGGAGGTCCTTCAGGAAGGTCTCCTTGGGATTTTCTTCTTGTGCCCTGCCACAAGCTCCCAGGAGCCCTATCAATATGGAGGGTCAGCTGGAGCCCATGCAGTCAGTGCCCTCCCCGGCCTAGGACAGAGTGAGGATGAAGAGGGCAGCTCCAGCTTCCCCTTACACACGCTTCATCACAGGCACCTCTCCTGGATGGCTACAGGTACCCCTGGGACCCTAACCTGCCCCTCGCTCTGGCTGTGGCTGCATTCTGCACAGGGGCTGTCATGCTGAACAGCCCCACGTGCCCACAGCTCCTGACTTTGCCTTCAAGTTAAGAGCTTCCCATCTCCTTCTCCGACCCACACATGCATGAAGCTGCAGGCATCGGCTTCCTCTTCTTCCTGGGGACCGCTGCTGATTCACTCCTTATTGACAGTCCAGCCAGTGTGCACCAGGCTCTCCCCCTTTTCCCTTCCACTCATTTCCCCAGCCCTTGCTCCTGCCCCTGGCACACCCATGCCTTACAGACCAGCCCTTGCCCTGGGCTCTGGCTTCTGTGGGACTCATGAAAATCGGTGGCCACCTGGGCCCTGGAGACACCTGGAGATAGGTGAGTCCCCAAAATGCCTTGGCCCTAATGCTGTGGTTTCCAGAAAGGAGAAGGAGCAGTCGATCCTGACATAGTGAGGACATAACGTCCTGAGCTCTGGAGAGAAGCTTCCAGACAGGGAGCCAGGTTGATGCAGCCCCAGAGCCTGCCCAGTGTACACGCACGCGCACACACACACACACACACACACACACACACACACACACACATCCGTGTGCACACTCCCACATGTGCACACATATGCATGTGCATACACAAAGGTGCACACACTACTCCATGGATTAACACCATCTGATACAACGGACACTGGACACTGGACCCTGGACTCGAGTATAAATACTAATTAACTAAAATTAAAAAAGCAACTCATCCCTTACTGCAGTGCTCGGTGGTCACATGCAGCAACCCTGTTGGCCCAGGTCATCAGGGCAGAAGCAGAGCACCTGTGCCCTGGTCACCCTCTGGGTGCTGGCCAGTTCAGAAAGACTGTGCTTCCTACTCTTTCTACATTTTCATCTCTCAGTGGACTCTAGTGCCATTTATATATATGAGAAGATAAAAGAAATATAATGTTATTTGTTCTCTGCATTGGTCATAAAGCAGATACAGCTCTAGGAAGAGCAAGGGCTGTCCGGGTGCCAAGACAGAGGAGTCCCTAATTTAAATATCTCCAAACCTATTTTTCTCCCTGTAGCTGCCTATCTACTATCAGCTGGTTGACTGATCTATCCATCTGTGTCCCATATGCTTAGTTTAGAACAACTGTCTATAATGTAATGGAAGAATAATTAAAAGTATCATATGTATATAATATTTTATCATGTATATCTCAGGCATTATAGATATAACTCAGGCCTTATGAACACTGCCACTAAAGCCACACCCCCAAACCTTTTTGGCTTTAGTTATTTTTCAGATAGTGCTTCATGGTTTTTGTCCTGAGGCCAGCCTTAGACCATATTTCTCCTACCTATTCTTCCTTTGTAGGTGTGCATCATCACACCCAACTCCTTTGTTAAAATGAGACCTCACTAACTTTTTTGGGGGGGTGGGTTACTGGGATCTTCTGGATCTCTGCTTCCTGAGTACCTGGCACTATGGGCACACGCCACCATATCTGGCTTGGATAGAAGCTTTTGAAAATCAATATGGGTTCTGCTCACAGCCAAGGGTAAAAATTACTGGGGAAGGGGCCAGCAGCTTGGCTCCTGCACAGCAAGCAGGGCCCCTAGTTCAATACCCAGGAGAGAAAGAGAGGAGAGGGGAAGAGAGAAAGGAGAGGGTGTGTGTGGGGGAGAGAGAGAGAGACTGGGGTAGGAAATAGAAAAGCAAGTATTCACGTCTTCAACACCATATGGCAGGCACTGTTTTGAGCCCACAGTCTTCATTATAAACCCTGATACTGTCTCATTTTGAGACATCTAGAGGCAAGCTGATATCCTTCCACAGTCCCCTATCACTGCTGCTACACTGCGAGACTACAAATCACGACGCTGTGCAGTTCATATGCAGCACGAATCATATGTGACTTTTAGTATCCGTGATAAACATCACCTTTATAATTAAAGGCAGTAGGTGAAACCAGAGAGGCCCAGCGTGCAGCTCTTGTGAGGACGGGGCTCTGGCGTAGCAGGGTGTGGCATCTCTACTCACTTCAAATGCTCACGTCCCTATACCTTTTTCTCTATCACACCCACTGATTTTCTTCAATGGTCTGATCAACTAGAGTTTCACTGCCATATTCACTTTGAGAGCTCCTACAAGTCGCGAGAGCTCCCATCCACCCAGCACTTACTATGCACTACGTCCTGTGCTTTGCTGACATGAACCCAGCACATAGCCATGACCGTCCTCAACCAAGAACTGCCCAGGTCTCCTTCCAGCTGCCCCTCGGATGCCAGCAGCATGAGTGCTTCAAACTCCGCCTTCTTCCAGCTGAGCTCAGCGCCCGCACACCTCTGCCTCTTCTCCTTGTCGCTGGCTAGACTCCTGCAAGCACCCTGGATCTCCTCTCTCTCCCTCTCCACCGCCAGCCGAATCCCAGGTTCTGTGAGCCCTACGTATCTTTTTACTCCGTTTAGATCTCCACCCTTCTAGACAACCCCTGTCATTTCTGTTCTGGGGTCTGGCAGAGCCACCCAACTCACCTACTTGTGTCCGGCCTTATTTCTCTTTAATTCTAGCTGTTCTGAGTGTCTGAAAAATGGGGTCTCTTTCATCTCATTGCAAGGTTTGCCTGAAGCAGAAGGATCTGTGGCTCTGCACGTGTCAGCCATGCGCTGAGGCACAGGTGACTCCTGAGCGACAGCCTGAGGTGGCACTCTGCACCTAACCGCACCAGGCATGCTCCGTGTGCCCGCCGCGGTCAGAGAAGTCATGATGAAGAGGGAGAGCAGAAAGGACAATTTTCAAGACTTTTTGAGATAGATGAAGTATCAGGACACCCTATTACAAAACAGAGAACCTCTGAACAGCGATGCAACATCATCATTTCAGCTCCATGGCACACTTTGTTGGGTGCTTGTGGGTTGAGGTCTGCTATGATGCTGGGGCTAAACTGCCAGCCGAGACTGGCGTCTCCTCCAAAGGCTTAACAGGTTCAGCTCCCAGGCCCTCAGCAGGCCTTGGTCCCCGGCCACTCAGCCTTTGCCTAGGGTTTGTCCTTCCCAGGGCCATGATCCTGAGGGAGCTCTGGGAGATGGCTGTAGAAGACACCATCTTTTAGAACCTGACCTCAAAAGTGACATCTTATCTGCATGGAACAGAAGCAAGTCACAAAGGCCAGTTCTTGCCCAAGCAGGATTCCACAGCGGCAGAGGCCCTGGGGCTGGGCTCCAGGCAGAGACCATGGCCTAGGAGCAGCCCTCAGCCCTGTCTGCTCATCGCCATGGCCACGGACCCACGGCGCCCCGCTCACTGTGTCCTCTGCTGCCGCTTCCTGACGGACCTTTCACAGAATTCCCAAGTGGGTGGGCATTGTTAGAGTAGCAGCTAGCGTGAGGAATGCACGTCTCTCCACACCAGGAGACAGACATTAAAGTTTAAGCAGTATTACCAAGCCTAAAAATTCAAGCAATTCAAGTTGCTTATCAAAAGACCTAAGTGTCTGTTGGAAGAGATTTAAAAATATTAAAGTGAAGTATCTACTTAATGATTCAATGTCTATATTTCTGATATGTATACTTAGTATAATTAAATTTACTGTGCCTAGCAAGAAAGAGCATGTTGTAGATAAATTGGGACCATCCCGGAAAAGCTGCTGTCTCTGAACGTGACCTTATTTGGACTTAGGGTCTTTTTTATTAGTAATGAAATTAAAGGAGGTGGTGGGGATGAGAACCGGAGTCATTAGAAGAATGGCCGGTGTGGACACAGCACACATAAGGACAAGATGCAAGCCCACAGAGAGACGCGCCTGTGTGTCTGCCTGCACAGGCCCTTCCCTGTGTCCAGGAAGGCTCCACCCTGTGGACACTGGGATGTTAGACTCTCGTCTCCAGAACTGTGAGACCATAAACATCTCATGTTGAAAGAGAGATCCAGGCAAAGACACAAGGACAGAGAGATTTTTAACAAGGTGCATATGCATCTAGACCAGCTGCTTTTAAAGAGATACGAAGACTCACTCTTAAACTTTCATCACACTATTTCTTTAAAATGTGTAAATGGCTGTTTGCTAGTATCTCTGTCCGTAATCCTAGTGACTCAGGAGGCTAAGCCGTGGACATCACAGTGCCAAGTTAGCCCAGGCAGAGAGGTCTACATGACTCCATTTCCAAATAACCTGCAAAACTGCTCATGAGGCATGATTCAAGTGGTAGAGTACCAGCACAAATAACACTGAATGAGACTGTGAGGCCCAGAGTTCAAGTCCTGGTACTGGTGCACGCACACGCGCATACACACATACAGTCACACACAAAACAATGTAAATGGATACAGTTCTGGATGAAAAGAATTAAACTTCCCTCTAACATCCCGGAGCAGGGCAGGCAGCGGGGGCGGGGACCTACCTTCTGGTAGTCCTCCTTGGACCTCAGGGCCGCCTCCATCTGCATGGCCGAGGTCACGTAGATCGCTGACCGATACTGGGTGCCGTGGTCATTGCCTTGGCGCATGCCTGGGGGTGAAGAACACAGACCATCAGGCAGGCGACAGGCAACTGTGCTGGCATTCACCCACGCCACACCGAAGTGTGCAAGCACTGTTCTCACATGGTCACCTGATATGTGCCCCAGTGCTTGGTATCACTTTCTCAAAACAAGCATGAAATGCATCCGCTTTGATTTGCCAGTTTCGATGATCACCGATATCTGTAGGCTCAGGTGAATTCATTACAGGTCTTGGATCATGTTAGCTACTCCACAAGTAAACATGTTCTATGCAAATACATAAGGAATAATCTATCTCATTGAGCCCATGTACAGGACTGTGATACACATTCTCTCCTTGGGTCCTAAGGGAACTCCCAATGTGAAAGGAGCTATACTTCACTGCAGATAAGGGAGGGGGAGGCTGTGTGTGGGCTGCCTGGGGGAGGGGCTCTCAGGAGACATGGCTATCACAGTCACCTCTCCAGGACGAAGGTCACGTGACTGGGTCAAGGGAAACATGATGATACTTAATGAGACACGACAGCACAGAGAAGCTGGTGATTACTCACCGGCTCACTGGGGTCTCCTGGAAGGCTTCTTGACATGGTCAAGAAACTTCATCCGTTATTCAAGTACCAGCTTCTCAAACACCTCCAGCAGAGGCTCTGACCCCACGAGGAACACGTTTGTGTTTTCAAACGCGAATTCACAAGCCTATCTAGCTAGGAAGCCGACACTTCTCCAGGAGGTCTGTGGGCCCGAGAACCTGCATTGCTCCTGCACTCATGGTGGTTCTGGAAATATGGGACAGGTCCTGCCTGCTCCCCGAATCACAACAAATGACATGCTATTACCAAATTGCTCTAAACAGCTTTCACCCTGCTATCCTCCAGAGATCAAAATTAATGAAAATTCCTTTTGAGAAAAGATAAGACAAGTGCTAAGATAAGACAGCTATGTTCAGTCCAACAAAAAGTATTCAGAAGGTGCTAACTGTGTCCTCAACACTACTGAGGCTCCAGAAGATTTGGTTATAATCCTTGATCTCAGGAAATACCTAGAAAAAAAGGAGGAGGAAACAGAATGGAGCTGAGCTTAACACACTCTCCCTCTGGCCTGGCCTTTGACAATACCGTGCTCACTGAACCTGCCTGAGGTCACACACTGGGTAAACGGCTGTCCTACAATTTAAACTTCAATGTGTTGGGCACCAAAGCCCCTTTCCCTTTCTGAAACCAATGCACAAGATGTTCTGGCTGAAAAATCAAAGCTAGTGAGCAAAGTATAGAGTGACTCAGGCTGAGGGAGGAACATCACAGCCCAGGGCCCAGAAAGAAGAACAGGCCTGCTATGTTCTGAGGACTACAAAGAAAGGCCTGGTCTTGACAAGGGGCCTGGCAGCAAATGAGGCCGGTCAGCCGAATGTGACGCCACGCGGGGATCTCGAAACTTCCCACTCGGGACCAGAGACACGCAAACAAATGTGTCTCCAGAGAGCCAGACCCTAAGGTGCATATTCAGTCCTCAGTGACCAAGTTTTCACACAGACTTGACCAGCGCTGCCAAGTCCAGGTGGTCTTCGCTTGGCTTTGGAAAACGTTAAGCAGATAAGTTCTTCACACTGTCTGCTGTTTTCATGTCCCAGGGTTTACTGTGGAGGGTGAGAAGAGGGGGGAAAAAAAACCCTAGGCTCAGAAATCACATCTTGGCTTAAGATTCTTCCTGAACACCGAGCTGATTGATGAGGACCGGGCTTTGGGGCAATCATGATCAGGGCTCGGCGGCGGCATGTACCAATCACCTGCGATTTCTCCATCGGCCTTCTCTAGAGGTGATTTTAAGGGAACAAACCATTCTGACACTGCTCTATGACATCTCTCCCTCTGGAGAAACTAGGAATAGGTAGTGGAAGGCAGAAATGCTTAATCTACACGGAAGCACAAAGATGGATGAGAGCGCACCTGCTCAAAGGGCCTTGTAAACCTCATGTGTGGGAACCAGACTTGTCGTTACGCACTCTGATGGGAGGGAGGCATGGGAAATGTGTGAGCGGGGGAATCTTAAGCCAAGCTCCTGCTCCAAGCTGGGCCACTTTTCAAGGCCCCAGGAGCTATCATGGGATGGTGATCATCAGAGCAGGCAGGAACACATTCCCTAGGAGTCACATCTCCATCCCAGGGGCTCTCCATTAGCTGGATGCCCTGGTCGCAAGCACAGAGTGACCCTCTCCAGGACAAACCACCATCGCTCCATAGGAAAGGCGGCCACTGGGTGGGGATGTGCTGGGGTAGTTTAGACTTGGTCTGCGGTTCTCTTCTTGCTCAGCAGGTTAGAAACTTTGTCCAGGAAACAGGATGGGGTCATTGGGGGCATGTCGGCCTCACGTCCAAAGACTTGAGAACCTGACCCAGGTTTGCAGCTGTTTTTGGTGGGTTTTAATCCCTACATCTCATTCAAATACAATCAGCAGAGGTCTCTGACAAAAATACCTTCTAGCCCCAATGCTTTCAAACCGACAGTTCAAACAGTGTATCTGGGGACACAGGCTGAAAATATATTTCCATAGGTTAGGAGAGGTTTTCACATTGTTTTGCATTTTCTGCTATTCTATTAAAAAAAGTGGACTCTAAATTTATTTCAATAAGATAACAACGTTAAAACTGTACAGATGATATCTGGATGGATATTTTTAAATTCTTGTCTTTGACATGTCTACTTACATTTTGTTTTATTGTTCTTTTGTTCCTCGTTCTTCCCGATCACTCGGCTGCATCAGTGTTAACTGTGTTTCCTCCCTGAACTTCCTCCCCTCCCTCCCCTCTCCTCACCCCTTCTCTGCCCCCAACAGCACTATATTTATCCAAGTCTTTCATTAAGACCTGTCCCTTCTGACGTGATTTGTTTCCATTCACCCCTCATCCTCTTCGCTGCCCATGTTGCTGGGTCCCGTCTCTGGCTGCCCTCTCATGAGCCCTCCCATGGAATGGCTCATTTCTACTCTGAGAACTCACACCTCCGTGGTGGCGCTAATCCCAGGCTCTCGTTTGCGCTTCCCTCAGTGACATTCCTGCTTCCTGGACATTTCAGCATCCAGGCTCCCTGGCTCCTCTCCACCTCACTGCATCCGGTCACTGCCCCCGCCCCCCTTCTCATCTTATCACCCGACACGGCCGCTCTCCCAGTGACCCAGGTTTGCAGTCTCCAAGGAGCTCGTATTTTACTGGAGCCTCCTTTACTTCTGAGCTGGGCAGGCCTCCAGCTTTCCTTTTGTTTCCTGCCAATCCTTTAGTAATAGCCTAGCTCCTGATGCCACAGCCCACCCCCCGCCATATCCAGACCCACTAATGCTTGGTGTGGGATAAAGCTGGAGAAACATCTGGGTGTTACTCCAGCTTACCTGATAAAAGGTCCTGCCTGTTTCCAGGGTGCTCAATTTCGTTAACTGTGGGTCATCTCACCACATGCGCCCATTTCCACCTCACCTGCAGAACCAAACACCTCCCGGCTCACACCTCCTCCCAGAACAAAGCCCAGGGCATCATTTGCACATTTTCTATTCTCAGAGCTAAGCAGAGATGCAGAAAATGACAGTCCTGGCATTCTCTCCCATTAAAACATCTGCAATTCCATAGTGTTTATGCTAGACATTTTGTTTTTGTTTTTGTTGGTCACGGGGCCTGAACTCGGGTCTGGGCTCTGTCCTTAGCTCTTCAGCTCAAGGTTAGCACTCTACCACTTGAGCCACAGCGCCACTCCTAGATGTATAGTTTTAACTTGTTGATTACTCCTTTAAGTTTTATGACAACCAACACACTGATAAGTTAACCTCTATATTATTATACAGAAAAGTAAGATGCCTTGGAAATGTAAAATGTAGGTAGCAAATTAAAAGAAAAATATTCTACATTTAGTCTAAATTTGTACTCAAATCCTAGTTTTGAACCACAGCAATTCAGGAAGAGAGTCTCCATGTGTGTTTGGTTAGGCATCAACCTTTGGTCACCTTTTGCCTAGTAGGAAATGACAAACCATCCAAGAAGAGTGGCAGGGAATGCACACTGGGCTATTTTAAGATGCAGGGAAAAGCCAAGCAATCAATTCATAATCTCTAAATAAAATTTAAGTATTTTAGTGATACTGTTGGACAACCACACTACTGAAATACAAAGGGTGACTGCCAAGGATTGTGTCTGTACCAAGGTGACTTAGCCTTACCCAGGCGTCTTCACCGTGGCTCTGCTGATGTGTTGTCAGGTGTCTGTTGTACAGCTGTCCTGTGTACGCTGGATACAGAGCCGTGGCACCCGTCCAGCTGAGATAGGCAAAAATCTCCCTCTCTGTGGCTAAATGTCCCACAGAGAAGCAAAATCACCCGTGGGTAAGAAGCCACATTTCTAGATTAATGGACAAATTTTGATGTTATTACTTATACAGTCTACATCTTCAAGGCAGGTAAGTGAAGTAACGTGAAGAAAGAAAAAGCTTTTGGGTGGGTAAAGACCAATAGCTCCAAAAAGAGTCTCAGAGGTCTTCCGTATTCATATTTTTGTTTGTATCTGCTGATTTTGGTGGTCACCGGGGTGTTTCTGTTTCATTTCTCCCTCAATGGGAAAGAATGGAGATGTGTAGCCTAGTATACAAGATCTTTTCTTTTCTGGTAAAATGGTTTTGAAGAGACCTATTTATATCTAAAAGACCAGAAGCACAAATTGAAATCAGATATATACAGTTCAGAGATAGGGCTCTGAACTGCATGGGGGAAGAAAGGAAAAAGTCTATTAAAAATAGAAACATCAATGTTCATTGTCATCACAATGTCCTTCCTGGTGTCTGTAGCACATGACCATAGTGCCCAGAAAATCTCTAAGATGCTTGCTGTCCTCTCAAACTGAATCAATTAGGAATAGCTTTCAGTTTCACAAAGATGAAAATAACAGCGACTTAAACAACAGACATGTGTCTTTTTTTCCCCCAGTAAGTCAGAAGTCTATTAAAGCAGATAGTTTGGGGGCAGTGGGGTAACTCC